GCTGTGATAGTAGAAGCATCCACTTGTGCCTGAGGGGCCAGAGGTGTCTGGTTTTCCTGTGATTTGTATTTACATTTTGAATGCAAATAAGGATTATCTCTTAACCCAAAGAAGTCTCAACATAAAGTAATTATGGAGGAAATAAATGTAATTCTCAACCTGCTAGATATCTAATATGTCAAGTTCATTTTTCCCACAATCAAAAAATGAATTCTAAGGACCAATGGAGGTTAACAGTAGGAAATTTTATTGAGGGAAAGACACCTCCTAAGCAACACAGGAAGGGACCTGATGAGCCTAGTTCTCAAAGGAACTTTTATAGAGCAAAATCATGAGGTGGCTACACAGTCAAAAGAAGAATAAAATGTGGGATAAAACTGTGATCAACCAGTAAGATTACAAGTATAGCTGCTTAGGTAATGTTGATCCAATGGGGAAATAAGTAATTTAGCAAATATACACAGAAAAAAAAAAGGACCTTTTTTGAAGATGTGAGTCAGGAGTTCCTGGTCCTCCAGCTAGGAGACTGATGTCTATCTAGACAGTATTAGTAAGAATAACTAAAGGTGGAAAACTTATGAGTTCAAATCTGAGATGCTCATAAATATAAATATTAACCCAGTGCCACACTAGGCAAGTGTTCTGCTGCTAAACTACATTCACAGCCTGACACATCCAATACATTTTAACATGTTCATATGAGTTGAAAAGAGTCTACTTCAGCTGATAATTTGGTTTGATAATGAAGATAATGAGTGGGTAATGGAGACTGACATTGCCCATTTACTTAAATAGTAGATGTTTTCATATATTGAATGAGAGAAATATGTAGTTCTAAGGTTTTGACAAAAACACATAACATTCATGACAAGTTAAAATCATTTTAACAAAAATATTGTATTGCCGAAGGCATACAGAAATGCTAATGTTTCTATTTTCTAAACTCCAAGTAAAAAGTAAGGCACATTGAGATGAGTTACAGTACCATTATTAATACTTTGGTAAGCTCTGTTGTTGTTTTGGTAAGTGTTTTAAAAAGCCTTTTTTGAAGGAAAGAAAAGACCCAAATCAATGCAATTAGAAATGAAAAAGTCTGCTGAAATTCAGGTTATTATCAACTATGAGAACCTGTACTCTAGTAAAGTGGAAAATTCAGAGGAAATAGATTCCTAGATATATATGAATGTCCAAAGCTGAAGCAAGAAAGCGTAAGAAACCTAAATAATCCCACATCAGGTAATGATACTGAAGCAGTAATCTAAAAAAAAATTACTACTGGCTGGGATACAGCACAGTGGCAAAGCACCTGCCTGGAAAGCACAAGGTTGTGAGTTTGATCCCCAGTACAAAAAAAAAGAAAGAAAGAAAAGAGACTACTACTAAGTAAAACCCAGGTTCTGATGGGTTCGCTCTTGATTTCTACAAGAACTTTAGGGAAGATCTAACACCATTATTCCTTGAACTCTAATGAAATCAAAAGGGAACAAAGTCATTTTGGGAAGCTATCAATGCCCTGATTCCAAAACCATGAAAGAACCCAACCAAAAAAGAGAGCAACAGGCGAATCTCCTTAATAAATACTGATGCAAAAATTCCCAACAAGATCCTGGTAAAAGGGTGTGTTATGGGTTATGTCTAAATCTCCCCCCCTAAAGCTTCGTGGCTCTTGGGAAGTGATTGGATCTTGAGGGTTGATACTCATCAGTGTGGCTGGAGAAGGTGAGTAACTGGGGCCACGGCCTGGGAGAGTGCCTCCTGCTTCCTCCCTAGATCATTCTTCCACTTCCTGCTGCCATGGCAGGAGCTGTTTCTCCTCTGCCACGCACCTCTGCAGTGCTGCCCTTTCTTGAAGCTACAAACTATGAGCCCAAGGGGCTGGGGAGCCCAAATAAACTTTTCGTCCTTAAAGTCAGAGGTGTCAGGTATTGTGTCTCAGTGACAAGTGAAGTAACTAAGATAGGATGCAACAAATCATTGAAAAGATTATACATCATGACCAAGGATTCATCCATCCCTGGGATGCAGGGGTTGTTCATCATATACAAATCGATCAATGTAGTATTTCACATAACCAAAGGCAAGGACAAAAACCAGATGATTATCTCAATTGTTGCCCCCCAAAAACTAACAAAATCCAACATCCATTCATGATTTTTAAAAAAAAACCTGAAAATACAAGACCTTAAAATACAGACCTGAAAATAGAAGGACCTTATTTCAATCTGATAAAAGACATTTATGACAAATCAATAGCCAACATCATGTTAAGTGGGGAGAAGCTGAAAGTTTTCCCTGTGAAATCAAGAATAATCTAAAATTCCTGCACTTGGGAGGCTGAAGCAGCACGACTGCTGCAAGGTTAATGCTTGCATGGGCTAAACAGTAAATTCAAGACTGATCTAGACTACAGAGTGAGACCCTGTCTCAAAAAACAAAAAATAACAAAATTATTTCGGGAACAAGACAAGGATGTCTGCTATCACTACTACTGTTAATACATTCTCCCATACGTCATCAGAGCAATCAGGCAAGCAAAAGAAATAAAAGGGATAAGTATAGGAAACGAAGAAGTCAAAATATTATTTGCATATGATATGATCCTCTACATAGAAGACCCAAAAAACTCCTTGAATAACCAAATTCAGCACCATAGCAAGATACAAAGCCAACACGGAAAATCAGTAGTGTTCCTGTATACAATGATAAAATCACTGAGAAAAAAGTTAGGGAAACAATATCTTTCCACAATAGCATTAATAAAAGTTAAATACCTAGAAATTAACCTACCAAGGAAGTGAAAGAACTCTACAGTGAAAAATACAGTGTTCTACAAAAGAAAATTGAAGCAGACATTAAAAAATGTCCCCGTTTCTGGATAAACAGAACTAATACAGTGGTGCCTCAGATTATAAAATTGACTATTTCCATGATTCTGGTCACATAATTCATTCCATGATTCTGGCATTCAGATGTAACTATATAGTTAAAATGGCCACACTTTCAAAACTGATACAAAGATTTAACACAATCCCAATCAAAATACCAATAGCACTCCTCACAGAACCAAACAATCCTAAAATTCACATGGAACTGGAAAAGACCTAGAATAATAAAAACAATCCTGGGTAACAAGAGCAGGCAGGAGGAATCATAATTCCAAACTACAAGAAACAGCATGATATTGGCAAAAAAAAAAAAAACCCTCACATATGTGATCCATATGTGTATGGATCAATGGAGAAGAACAGATGATGGAGAAACAACTCCAAGCACTACCTGATCTTTGACAAAGGGACCAAAAGCTTACACTGTAGATAAGAGGGCCTCTGAACAAGTGACTTTGGGAAAATTGGCTATCCACATGCAGAAGATTGAATCTAGACCAGGAGAGGTGAACCTATGGTACACATGTCACAGTGAGCACACAGAGCCCTTTCTGTTGAGACACAAGCCAAGTCACCCCAGCGTTGCCCCAGCAGCTGAACATTCAAGTTTAAGTGTAGTATTGGCACTTTGCCATAAATAAGTGGGTTTCAGATTGCAATTTGGGAATTAAGTCTCTAAAAGTTTTGCTGTCACTGATCTGGACCATATCTCTAAACATGTACTAAACTAAAGTGAAAATGGATCAAAGATCTAAATATTAAAACATTTAATCTGTTAGAAGATAAAATAAATAAAACTCTTGAAAGCACAAAACAAGGATTTTCTGAACAAAACCAGAATTGCACACGAGATGACATTAAGTTGGAAAGTTTCTGCAGAGCAAAGAAAACAACCCATGGAGTGAAGTGATAATCCAGAAAATAGGAAAAAAAAATTGCTAGCTGTTCCTTGGGTAGAGGAATAATATCTGGAGTGCATGAAGAATTCAAAACAATTAGAATCCCCAAAATAAAAGACACAATTTACAAAACAGGCAACCGAAATGGACAGTCACTTGTCAGAAGAAGAAATACAAATGGACAATAAATACAAGAAAAAATGTTCAATATGTCTGGCCATTAAAGAAACACAAAACAACATTGAAGTTTCATTTCACTCCAGAAAGAATGGAGATGGTGTAAACTGATCTTTATAGAACTGACAGTTATATAACCTCTGGATTGCAGAAGGCATCCTCTATTTAAAATGTACATGGAGTATTCACCAGGTAAGGAATATCTGGGCTGCAAAATGAATCTTAATACATTTCACAGGATGGAAATGTTAAGAGTACCTTCTTTGTGTGCAACAGATTCAGATGAGAATATCTAGAGAAGCAGAAAGGCCTTGAAATAAGTGGAAATTAACACACCTCAAACGAATGAGTGGAAGAAAAAAATCGAGAAGTTAAAAACTGTCTTAGCTGACTGAAAGTGTTCATCATATCAAAAGCAGTAGAATGCAGCCAAAGCAATGATAGGAGGTCAACTAATAGCTTTAAGTGGATAAATTTAAGTCAAAGGTCCTCCATCAATAATCTCTAAGCAACCAAGAAAAGAAAAAGAAATCAAACACCGCGTGAGTAATAAAGAGCAAAGATCAATGAACTAGAAAGAGAAAATAAATGAAACTAAGATACGGCTTTTTGAAAAGATTTGCAACACTGGTAAACTTATGGCAGATAATTCAAAAAAACTACTGTTGACAAGAATGCCGGAATCAAGACGTCTAGTGGAAGAAACAAATACTCTATTAGTCATTCAAATAAACCTACATGACCTTCCGCAGTAAACTCAAGGAATTCTGTAGCCCAAGGAGACACCTCCGGGGACGTGAGTCGCAGTCTGGCACTGCACCAACCAGCAGCAGGTGTGCAGCGCGCCTTCTGAGCCCTCAGGGGTAAGTGCGCGCCCCGCCCCCTCCCGCGCCCCGCCCCCTCCCGCGCCCCGCCCACGTGCTCCGCCCCTCGCTCCGCCCCCACGCGCCCCGCCTCTTCCCCGTCTCGCGGGCTTTGGCCCCCTGCCCAACGCCTCTGCGCAGGCGCCAAGTTAGCGCCCCGTAGAGGGTAGAGGTGGAGTGGGGTGGGGCACGCCGGGCCGGGCCGGGCGGGGCAATCGCTGGGCGATCGCGGGGCAGGCGCCGAGGTGGCCCGGGAGCTGGGGAGACCGCCTCGGGGCTGCTGAGCGGCTCGCGTTCCCCGCGATGCGGAGGTCGGACCCCGGCAGCTGCTGACCGCTGTGCTCCGGCCTCGGGAAGCGAGGGGCGCCCATGGCGGAGCCCTGTGAGTGCGGCGGGCGGGCGTCCGCGGGCAGCGGGAGCCCCGAAGAGGAGGACGACGAGGAGCGGGAGCCGCTGCTGCCGCGCGCCGCCGGGGCCCACCCGCGGAGAGCCGCGCCGGGTGGCGCCGTGAGGCTGCAGGAGGCGGCGCGGGGCCAGGACGAGGCCGGCGACGAGGAACCGCTGCTCGCGTGCGGGGACTCCCGGATTCTGGACGTGGACTCGGACCGGAGCCGCTCTGCGATCTCAGGTGCGAGTGCTCCTTCGGGCGCGTCCCGGGGGCCCTTGTCCCACGCGTAGCCGGCCCGAGAGTGGCTGGCCGCGGGCGCTCGGCTTGCTGTCATCTCTTCTGATTGGTGGCCGTAGGCCGGCTCGCCTCTGGCCAGCAGTTGTGGTTAACTCAGAGGATGCTTTAGTCCTGTCCCCATAGTGAGTCCGCACTGGAGTCGGACTCTGTAGAAAGCTTAAAGCTGCCAGATGACGTAAATTTTTTGCTCAAGTTTGGACTTGAGTTCCGAATTGAGAACTCTAAACTGTCCAAAAAGTTCCCTGCGATGCGAGTTGACAGTAGAGAGTTGAAGGGCAGGACCGTTCACTCCAAACCCTTTCCTACCAAATGTTATTATGACTCTAGCCAGAGAGCAGAGGCAGTTGAATTCCTGTTTCTGCAATCTCTCTTGCAAAGTTTTTGAGTAGCTTCTGTACTGAAGCTAAGACGTTAAGAAAACACACTTCATTTTCACTCTTAACAGCAGCACTGATGGCCTCTGAAAGCGAGGATAATTGAAACGCTGTTGAGGTTAGTTAAATGTAGGCATGCTGTTGAAGGCCTCAATGTTTGACTTGAACTTAAGTTTTTTTGGTGTATGAAGTTGGGTTAATTTGGTGGAAAATGAGCAAACTGATACATAAAAGTCCAGCTACCGACAGACAGGCCTGTTTGGAAATAGTGTTAACACCTATTTGCATTTATAGAAGGCGTGCACGCCTTGTCTGGAGTACCACTCCACGTGATAGTTTAAAGAAAAACCTCAGAAAGTAGCATTTTTTTTTTTTTTTAATGAGGGGCCGGGGGTTTAGTTCAGCGGCTCTAAGTGCCTGCTTGGCAAATGTGCCTTTACTAGTTTAAAGCATTTTGGATAGAATAATCACTCAAGTTCTAGTTAGTCTTCTAGTCCAACATAAATATTCTGAACTAAATCAGAGAAGACCTACAGAGAGCAGTCTGATTTGGCATGGTGGTGAATGCCTGTAATCACACTGCTCAGGGGTCTGAGGCAGGAGGATTGCCACAAATTGGAGGCCAGCCTGGGTTACATAGTGAACTCGATGCTGGCCTGAACCACATAGCAAGACCTTGGAGAGAGAGAGTGCTCTCTTACTGTTGAACCTTAGAAAATGCCTCTGGCAGGGATGTCTGCTGCCCTTAAAACGTTAGCTAATTACATGTGCTATTTGCAGTGCAACACTAATTAGAACAAACAAACTTGAAGTTGGAACACAAACAGTGCTTCATTTACCTAGCAGTTGGTCAGTTTGCACATATATTACCTAGAATCCAGTCTGGGAAGTAGTTAAAATCCTTATGGCTAGCTTACCATTTTCTACTCCAAAGTTACTATTTTAGTAAAACCTAAAGCATGTTTGTCGTGTGAAAATGGTTTTTTTTGTAAGCAAATAATAAAGATCAAAGTGAACATGAGTATAATAATTAGAATGCAACTTAATTATTAAAAAGAATCCCTGCCTTCTCAGTGGTAGTAACTAAGAGTTTGATAAGATTGTTTTTCATTAATTCTCACAACACCACAGCAAGCTAGTTGTCGTTCTCTCTTGTTGTGAGAACTGAAAATTAATAGAATAGTTTTAGAACTGGCAGTTCCTAAAACTTCAGAGGTAAGTGGTTTGCCCAAGTCAAATACCCAGGAAGTGGTAAGACTACACTGAAACCAGATCTGAAACTAGGTCTTCTTTCTTTATGTCCTGCATTATTTCCACTTTTGAATATTATCACAGTTTTGTTTCAATGGGATTTTCAAATAGTATTGAGCTATAAAAACTGCTCAGAAATCTTTAGAAGTCATTTCTAAAAACAATATGATTAACTTAACTGGATTTTTTTTTTTTTTTTTTGGTCTTTTTGAGTCAGGGTCTCACTATGCAGTTGAAGCTGGCCTTGAGCTCACTTTGTAGCCCAGGCTGATCTCAAACACAATGAATCCTCCTGCCTCAGCCTTCTGAGAGCTGGAATTACAGCGTGTGCCTCCACACTTAGCTTTAGGTTTTTTTTGTTTTATGTTTTATGTGTTTTTTTTTGTTATGTTTTACTTCCTTTGTCTTTTACCATCAAATTTTATTTCCAAGACATTCTTGTCTCAGGTCAATATTAACATCATTTATGATGCTTAACTATTTTATTTACATAGAAGCATGACATACTTAGCCAATAGAAGAATGTCATATGGCTGTTATTTTCACAAGGCGTTCAACAGTCTAGAAATAACATAAACTGTAGTGCAAATTGTTAGATCAGAGTCAAAGTAAGAGTTCTGGCATTCCTTGTTATAGTTATTTTAATCATTAAATTGGATGGTAATAAAGATTATAATAGATAATACCTATATAGCAGTAGGTATGTGGTGGGCATAGTTCAATGTGCTTCCTGTATATTGAAACAAGTACTATTTTTTATTCCCACTCAAAGCAGGAGGAGTGAAATGACCGAACTTTGAACGCATGTCTTCTCTTATACAGCCTAATGGGGAACAGTGTTCAAATTGATGCAAAGCAACCGAAATAGAAAATGTGTATTTACAAGTCACTTAGTGGTTCATGATGGCTTATAAATGTGAACAAAATAAAATGATTTTAAAACGAGGAACACGAGCATGGGAAGTAAGCATAGTAAACTAAGGTGGAGAGTAGAATAAGAACCCACATAATACACACAGTTACTTGGAATAGGCAGCCCTCAAGTTTGACTTTTTACATGACCGAACAGTAACGCAAGAGAACCCAATTCTGTTTATAAAATGAAAATAAACTGATTGTTTGAATCAAAAGAGAACTGATAAAGGATAGCCTATCAGATATTCTTTCGAAGAGACTCCATGCTGAACAATATCTCTCTAAAAGAGATTAATTCCACAGAGCTGCTGTCCCCACATAGCTTTACAGCTCGGTGAAGGAAGTACAGACCCTGTGTGTCTTCTTTTGGGGAAAACTGAGTGCTCCTTGAGGTATGGAACCGTGTCCTGGTATGGGAGCCAGGGAGGCTTTGGCAAAGGGTGTGGCATCCACCCTGTGACCTGAAGGATGAATAGCACTGTGGCACCCACCTTGTTAGCACTTACTTTTTTCTAGCAAGTGTTCTGGTTTTGTATAAGATGTAAAGATGTGTAAGATGTACTTCTAATCCTCACGGGAGGACAGGTTCGATGAACACTGATAAAAATCCCCGTGTATACTTACATTCAAGTGAATATAAAAAGCTAATACTGGGTTCTTTTAATCCATTTTCAGTTTCTGCTTTGTAAAGGACCAGCAGTGGCCCTTAAGTGTGATCCAAGGGATAGTTTGTTAATTTTTCCAGCAAATTTATTGAGGGCCCACATGTGCCAGGCTCTAGTCTAGGCACATGAGATATATCAGAAAACAAAGATTTCTGTCTTACTGAGACTTGGAACATATTGTTAGTGTTGTAGGTGTGCAGGATGAAGAATTGAGGCATTAGCTTATGTTAGGAGTATTCATGGTACCCACAGGGTTCAGAGAGTGAGCTGGACATCTTGTGAAGAGTGAGGAGTCTACAGATGTGGGGGTGCACGCCTGTAATCCCAGCTCCTGGGGAGGGTGAGGCAGGAAGACCCAAGTTCAGGGCCAGCCTGGGCAACTTAGACTCTGACTCAAAACAGAAAGAGCTGGGGATGAACCTCAGAGCAAGGGCCTGGGTGGGGTTCAGGCCCAGGACTTCCACGGAAAACGTTAAAGAGGGAGCGCTAAGAGAGCTTGAATGAGACCAGAACTTACATCTGTTGAAATAAATACGTCCATAAGTACCCACTAAATACTGGTCCTTCTTCCAAGTTAACAAAAAAAGGCAATTTCTGTTTGTTTTAAAGACTTTCAAGGGATAGGTAAGAATGATTTAGAATGAGCATATTAGTTTATTAAGTATTTGGATTATTCTTTAGAATAAATTAAATATGCCTAATTGCCCTTTTAATAGTATTTTTTCCTCAGTACAATCTTTTAAAAATTAGTAATGGTTTTATTTTCAAGTTAAGGAAAGTACGAATTTTCATAACACCGATAATAGCATTGAAATATCTTCCAAATTAAAATGTGAACAGGTGTATTTGGCTCATAGTTTTGGCAAGTTCTGTCTGTGGTCAGCTGGCTCAAAGGCAGAAATGGCATGGGAGGAAGGCCTGGATGAAAAAGCTGCTCAACCCATGGCGGCCAGGAAGTAGAGCAGGGGACAGTGCCCGAAGCAAGAGGCCAGGGACCGGCATCCACAGCACCTTGCCACGCCTTTGGGAGCCACTCAGATACGCCCAGAAGGGTGCTTTCCTGATCCCCAAGGCAGATCACATGCCAAGCAAGTGGACCGTCCAACTTAACTGTCCCAGATGTGAAGGGTTTTCAGTGTGAGCGCAGGGATAGATTATAAAGGTTTTTGCCCTAACCTGGAAGATTTCAACTTGCCAACAGCTAGAACAGGGAAAAAGAACATGATGCCTCCAGAAGGGTGGGTGAGAGTCAAGACCGAGCTGGAGGTTGTAAAGTTTGATCTGTAGAGACAGTAAGTACTATAGTCTGGAGTTCAGGGCAGAAGTCCAGGCTTCAGATCTAAAGTCATCGGTGTTAATGAAGGAGAAGAGAGGAGGGAAAAGGAGAGGAGAGGAGAGGACAGGAGGGGAGGGGAGGAAAGTATGGTAAAGGCAGAATTGGAGACAACACTAGAGTTAGGGCTGACCTTATAAGAAGGGCGACACACTCACTGGAGACGAGCAGCAATGAGAGGTCTCTGTGATTTGTTTTAAGAAATAGTGAACTCCCCCCCCACTTGTCATTTTTAGAACTTAAAGAGAAGTGGGATTGGTGTCAGGAGGAGGGTCAGAGCACAGCAGGTAATGCTTGACTGCATTCTTCTCTGCCTTACTGTCCTAAAGCCAGTGACCTACTCTGTACACGTGGTGGTCCGTGTAGTGAGCATTCTTTTTCCTAATGCAGTAACTTCCAATTCGTTCTTGGATGATCCAGAGTTTGCTGAAATTATAGCAAAAGCAGAGCAAGCCATAGAACTTGGAGTGTTTCCAGAGAGAATCTCTCAAGGGTCGAGTGGAAGTTACTTTGTGAAGGATCCTAAGAAGGTGAGAATTTCACAGATCTACTGTGTATTGCTGAAATTTTAGAAACACAAATTTAAACTGAATTCCTACTGTTTCTGAAGATTTCTTTTAATCTGATTGTTCCTTTTCTAATATTAGGGCCATTTTTTTTTGTACTAAAGCATTCTACCATATTGAACTAAGACTAATCATTTTAAATTATAGGTCACTATTTTAATATTTTATATTTAGTTTGAGCATTTACTAAATGCCCACATTCAACTGTAGGTTTGTTGAGTGTATAAATATAATAATGTAAATATAATAAGTCCTTACCCTGTAGAAACTTGGTACTATATTAGCCACGCACGTGGCTGGGTGTGGTTGTACATGCCTGTAATTGCAATACTTGGGAGGCTAAGGCAGGTGAATCACCACAAGTTCAAGGCCAGCCGGGGCTATATAGTGAGTTCAAGGCCAACCTGAACCGCATAGTGAAACCCTGTCTCAAAAAGGTAACAATAACAAAACTGTATTAGCCAGGCTCAGTAGAAATTTAAACTTTGAAAACCTGTTTCAGGTAATTTCTAAACATTTGACTTTTGCCCCAAACATACATTTCACCCTAGGAATATTTTCTGTGACATTGTATTAAGGAAAAGATGTTAGGAAGCTTACAATTTAAAGGATTGGATTGTAATAAAGTGAAATGTACTAAAATGTGATTGTAGAGTAGAAAAGAGAAATTGATATGACACTTTCTTCCACTTAAGCCAGAATCTTTCAAAAATATGTTCTTTTCTAAAAGCTTTCTGAATGATGGTAAAGAACCAATTTCTTTTTTGAGGGAGAAGAAGCTTCACTCAATTTTTTTCTTGCAAAGATTGAACTTATATTTTAAAAGTAATTTTAAAGCATACTCTTTTCTTTAAAATTTAAATATATTAATAGATATCTGGGTGCAGGGGTGCCTTAGGAGGCTGAGGCAGGAGGATCACTTGATCCCAAAAGCTTGTAACCGTCAGCCTGGGAAACTTAGCTAGACCCTGTTAAAAAATAAATGTATTTGAAGATAACATCAGTTGCTCCATCTTTTTGTTCTTGTTGTTTGTTTTTTGCTTTTTTAGACAGGGTATCACTCTGTAGTCCAGGCTGGCCTTGAATTCACTATGTAGCCCAGGCTGGCCTGGAACTCATGGCATTCTTCCTGCCTCAGCCTCCCCAGTGCTAGAATTACAGAGGTGGACCACTACGCCTGGTAATCTTTCCATCTTTATTCTAGACTGCTTATCTTTCTTTCCTTTTGTATGTGTGTGTCTATTTGTTTGTTTGGTTTTTGCCTTGTGCATGCTAGGCAAATGCTTATCACTGAACTACATCCCAACCTTAAGCTTGATTTATCAGTTCTTATTGATTTTTTGTTATTTAGAGCTTGTTGATACAAAAAATCATATATTTAAAATTATGTTGGTTTTATTTCTTGTCTAAGGATAATTCAGGCTCTAAATGTAACATGAATAAACCAGGCATGGTGGTGCATGCCTGTAATCCCAGCACTTGGGAGGCTTAGGCAGGAGGATCCTTGCATGTTCGGGGACAACCTGGGCTGCAAAGTGAGTTCAAAGCCAGCCTGAACTATATAGCAAGACCCTGTCTCAATAAATAAATAAATAAATAAACTTAATATAATTTATCAGATCATTACCAACAATTATAGGGACTTTTAGATATCCATTAGCAAATTTCTATTTAGTAGGAGAGAATTTATTTCAAATCAGCTCATGAAAAATATAACTGGAGAAATTTTAGCATAGGAGAATCTGACCACACAGAGGTAAGGTGTATCAAATTACCATCACCTGTGTTTTAGAGAACTTTTTATCATTGGATTTATTAGTTTATGTAACAAATACTTGGTGCCTGCGGCATCTCAGGTACTGTTCTGAGTACAGGAAATGCAGCCTATTTATAAAGTGCACCGCAGCAGGGGAAGTACACAGTAAACTCTAATTCTGATCTTTAGCAGACACCGAGTGATAACACAGTGTGACCTACTATGATGAACATTTTTAACTGAGGTCCAGTAATACTAAAACAAGTGAAATCAGAGTTAGAAAGCTGATGGCTTGGATGGCGTGAAGTTTTGTCCTTAGCTTCTTTTAATCCCAAGCTGTCCCAGCAGTTTGCAAAGTACTGACTCTAAATATTATTTTAGGTTGTTGATTGAGAATGAGTGTAAAAATGTGATGGGAACCAAATCTCTTAGTGCTTAAGAGTTATGCCTAAATGAGGAGGAGGGGGTAGCAAATTATCAGAGTGTATTTTGTGGATTACTACTTCTTATATACATTGTATGTATGCGTACATATTCCTTCATGTTTGTAGTCTAATAAAGTGTGTATGTAGTCTAATAAGATGCACATTGACTAAATGTGTATATAGTCTAGTAAGGGTTCTGTTTTTCCCCACAGAAAATTATTGGGGTGTTTAAACCCAAATCAGAAGAGCCTTATGGTCAACTGAATCCAAAGTGGACCAAGTATGTCCACAAGGTCTGCTGTCCCTGCTGCTTTGGCAGAGGCTGCCTGCTCTCTAACCAGGGATTCCTTTCCGAAGCTGGTGCCTACGTGGTAGATAAAAAGCTTCATCTGGGCATTGTACCAAAAACAAAGGTAAAAGGGAATTCGTTTTCGTCAAGTAGTGTTTCTAATTTACAGGCTGCTCACCTGTGAGTACTTTATCTTCTAATGATACATCTGAAGTTGGGTCTCTTTTTGGTACCCCAATAATCAGAAGCAACTAATAAACTGAACCTGGTGTAGATTCACAAAGTAGTTGAAGGAACCAGTCTTCCTCCTGTGAGATTGGATAACGCTTACAGGAGGCAGTAATAGAAAGCAGAAGGTGATTAGGGACCTACCAGCCCCAGGGAAGGCGTAGAGAACTAATGTGCTCACAAGATTACTATTTCCTTTTTGAGCTTTTTATGATTTGTGTGTGTGTGTGTGTGTGTGTGAGACATGGTTTCACTCTAGTCAAGGATGGCCTGAGTTCAATTCCCAGTGGCAAAAAAAAAAAAGTTACGTTTTTACTTGAATGCATCCTTTTAAAAGTCTTTCTCAAAAATATCCATTACTAATTCTGTATTTTAAAAAAAATTTTTCTCCTGAAAAATTTTTTATACCTCTCTCAAAAAGAAATATGTTCCACTTTATAGCACTTTGCAATCCTCTGGCCTTTCTATTTTAGATCGTCTGGGATTATTACAGGGTTGAACTTTGCTGTTTACAGCATTAGATGAATTTGCTAGTGTATGTGAATAGAAATTCTATAATGCAATTCTAACCATTTTTTTAAACTGTGTTTCTAGGTGGTTTGGCTCGTCAGTGAGACATTTAACTACAATGCAATTGACCGTGCAAAAGCAAAAGGCAAAAAGTACGCCTTAGAGAAAGTGCCAAAAGTAGGCAGAAAGTTTCATCGGATAGGACTTCCTCCCAAGGTGAGCCGCCTGTGAAGCTCTGCTTGGGGTGCAGCTGAGCGTGTGGGGACCTGAGCGCTCTAAGCGAGGCATCGTGCTGTGAGCCGTGAATACGGAAGTGAGAAGAAACCGAGAAGCTTACAATAAGCAAGCAATTTCCAAGCCATCTCAAAGCTGTTGATAGGATGCAAGCAGGGAGCGCTCAGAGGCTAAAGGGATGCCTAGGGCTGGGTGTATAGCTTCATGGTAGAGGACTTAATGTGGGAAGCTCTGGTTTTAATCCTTAGTACCATAAAACAAACAAAATGAAACAAGCCTAACTGAGTTTGGAGATGCCAGGAGTGTATCCAAAAGAAGACCTGGCAGTGAGGGCAACACAACACAATGGTGAAAACACAGGTCTAGAGTCGGACCCAGGTGGGGGCCACGCCCAGCCTGGTTGGATCCCAGACCCTGGACAAGGTCCTTACTCTGTAAACCCCACTTTGTATGACAAGGGGGTGACACACAGTGCCTCCTAGCTTGCAGTGAAGGTTAACTTAAGAAATTCGTGTCAGTAATTGGCATGTAGTAAAGGATGAACAGACGGTGTAGTGGTGGAGTTTACATACTACATATCAGACTTTGACATCTATTTATTTATTCGGTGGCACTGGGAATTGAACCCAGGGCATCAAGCATGCTGGGCAGATGCTTTACTACTGAGCTACATCCCTTGCCCATTTTCTTTTTGAGACAGGGCCTCACTAAGTTGCCCAGGCTTCTTGCCACCTTTAAATAAATCTGAAGGTTGGTTAACAGCAAGCTAAGCAAGGATAAGAAGGGCCAATGAGAAAGGCATTCTAGAAAAATCTCTGGGACTTATTTTCAAAACTGTATCTGACCTACGATTTTGTTGTTTTGTTTTTGTTATATATAAAATTGAATAGAAATTAATGGTTAATGTAACTTTTTTTCAAAATTATAGTCAGCAGGAAGGAAGTATGGAAAATTTTTACAAGGCCTATTCTTCCTTGGATATGCTGAAATTCATGTTGATTATAGAAGAATAAAGTAATTAATTATAAATACTTTAAAGAAAACCTCTAGGAAATTGTTAAAAATTTCATGCCCAAAAGAATATAAACTGTTGGAAGGAGAAATTGATTTTCTTTTTTTTTTTTTTTTTTTTTTTTTTTTTGTCTTTTTCCTTTTTATCGGTACCGGGGATCGAACTCACGACTGCCTGCTTGCAAGGCAGGCTCTTATGCCGCTGACCTAAATCCCCAGCCCCCAAGAAATTGATTTTCTTTGTGGTGCTTTGTTTGCATTTGTGAGGCAACACAGGGTGTCTGTTGTCTGCTGTTGAAACTTAGATTTGTATCTTTAATGCATTGCTCAGTATTAACTCATAAATGGACTCATCTTGAAAGAAAGACCTTTTCTTAAAGATACTATAAAGGTTATAATTAATTGAATAGTTCATGCAAATGTATTGGGAAGTCTTTCATCTGTGTGGTCAAAGAATCCATTCTGTTTTGAGTTAAATTCTTTTGATGTTGTAAAAAAGAAAACTGAAATGTTTCTTCAGTAAGATAAAATTGTGCTATTATGAAATAACCAGGATAGATATACAATTTGACCTGCCTAAATTCATTTTAATGAATATTTTTAGAAAGCAGGATCCTTGTTATGAATGTCACCTTGAAGACACATGTTTATTCTCTTTTTTAATTATCCTAAAATAACTGCTATGTTCCTTCAAAGTCTAGGGTTATTTTTCATTTGCTATGTATTGTTCATGTGATTATTTAAAATTAGTGTGTCAAAGTAGTCTTCTTGATAAATGTGACTTATCTAAACGAGTGTTGACTTCTGTTTATATTATTGTGTTTATGTAACATTTTGTGACAGTACTGCTGTGAAATTTAAAAATTAATCCCTTTGTTCTTGTACTTTCTTTTCTAACTCTAGTTCTTAAAATTATAGATTGGTTCCTTTCAGTTATTTGTTGAAGGTTACAAGGAGGCTGAATATTGGCTTAGGAAATTTGAAGCTGATCCTTTGCCTGAGAATATTAGAAAACAGTTTCAGTCACAGTTTGAAAGATTAGTTGTTTTGGATTACATCATCAGAAATACAGGTACTGAAATTCTCTACTTGTTCACTCCAATCTTGGCTTTCAAACTAGATCTTTGCTATCCAAATCAAAGCCATAAAATTTTCATGTAGAAGTCTGACAGCCACTTTTTCCACCTGTCTGGCTGTAGACCTAACTTCTGGACAGGGTTAACCCTGCCCTATGGGCTTCTGACTCAGAGTGGACTCCTTCCCAGATCTGAGAGATCAGTTCCTGTCCCCAAGGGAGAATCTCCGATTCCTAGGAGCAGGACAAAGCTAGACACTGGAAATATTAACTCCATAGTATAAAAAATCATCAGGTCCTGAGTATAATTCTCTGTACCAAAAAATAAATGAAAAATTAAAACTTGATCATGTAAATTGCTCTGGACGCTTATTTTGACACATGTGACTATTAGTGTAGTTCCTAAGTGCATTAAACTTTTCATTGGCTCTGCACTGTAAGGGTCCAAAGCAGTAGTTTTTGATCCCAGAGGCACCCTACACCACTGATGCAGAAAGTGCAAGTGGGGCCCGGCGTGTGTCTTCAGGTGCCCAGGGTGATCCTGCTGCACTCTCAAGTGTGAGACCCTTGAGCCCAAAGGTTTTCTCATTTATATTTTCTGAGAAGGCTTCATGTAATTTTCTGGATTGGCCTTAATTAACGTGTTCCTTGGGTTGAAATTTCACTCACCGTACGGTCTAGAGTATTCAGTGCCTCCTGGAAATTTGCCTGGCAGTAGGGACGGATGCTTTTCCTTCCTCCGCTGTGCCCACCTCACAGGGTGGCGTGAGGACCGAAGGGGTTCCCACTGACAGCAGCGTCTGGCCCAGACACCCACATGTAATAAATGTTGTACCTACTGTGCTTGTGTTTGTTAACTGTAATAACTGTTAACTAACATTTACGGGGTTTTTAGTTCATTTGTGTTCATTTGGAGCCTTTACTATGGTAAATATACTACAGAAAAACAATGGAAGTCTCAAAAAGTCAGAAAGTAGCTGACTAATTCTCCCCTTGATCTTAGGCTATGTCACTAAAAATGAACTAACAGGTTGTTTTTGTTTGTTTCTTTTCAAAGACAGAGGAAATGATAATTGGTTAGTCAAATATGAAAACAAGAAAATTGATAATGAGGTAAGGAAATTGAAACTAAGAAAATATGTGTATATTCAGTTTATAAAAGAGATTTCTTTTTTTTCAAAATCTATTTTATTCCAAGGATAACAAGAAAAAGGAGGACAAAAACCAAGAAAACACATCAATCGGGGCAACAATGGTACATACATTGCACATTGTCATCCCCAAATCAGTCACCCAGAGCACAAGATATCTGCTTACAGTTGACTGAACAATATGAGCACAAATCTTTCTCTTCATTGAACTCAGAGAAATGAATAGTATATCTTAACTTTTTATATACATATATATGCATATATATATGCTGTTACTTTTACACTAGTGAAACAGTGCGATGGTTACATGTATGTATATCTTGTTTATTTCACCAATGAGTATGTTCTCAAGTTGCATCCATTTACCTTCAGTTTATCCTTCTTTATGGCTGACTAGTACTCTGTTGTAAAAAATAGCACATCTTTTTTTATCCGTTCCTCAGCGGATGGGCATTTATGTTGTTTCCAAGATCTGGCTATTACAAATTATGTGGTATAAACATGGGTGTACATATATCATAGAAAGTTACTCTTCAAGAAATTTTCTCCTTTGTTTAGAGTGGATATCTAGTTTTTAACTCAGTTTGTCTATTTTTCTTATTCTTTTTCTTTCCATCCCTCTTTTCATTGCACTTCTGGTTTCTCTTCCTCCTGTTCCTCTTCCTCCCCTTTCCTCTCTCCTTCCTGCTCCTCCTTTTTCTTCTTCTCTTTCTGTTTTTCCTTGTTTTATTTTATTTTGTTTTTTGAGACAGGGTCTCACTTTGCAGTTCAGCCTGGCCTTGAACTGACTGGGTAGCTCAGCCTGGCCTCAAACTGGCCAGTCCTCCTGCATCCGCCTGCTGAGTGCTGGGATTATGGGGTACACCGCCATGTCCATCTCATTGTATTTATTGATTCTATTTTTTATCATCTCTGGGCAGCTTTATATTTTGTATTTTATTAGAATAGCACAGGGATATGCCAGCCCTGCCCAGTACTTCTGAAAGTTTGGTAAATTTGTAGCATCACAGTTTACTTTGCTTTTGTTTTGCATGAGGCGCCTGATATTTTTGGTGACATTTTTTTATTTTGTTAATTAACTTTCTTCTGAATTTTGTGATTCAGTATTAAGTAATCCAATATTACCCAATAAAATGGAACATGTGTTTAACTTGTGACTCATATCCATGGAACCAAATGTACTTGTAATACTTGTAAGCTGGTTTTAACTTACATAATAGATTGACTAGATCCTTAACACTGTCAGAATTACAGATTTTAGATTCATAATATCAGCTTTGAGTACCCAAGTTCAAATTTTACATATTTGTATAAGGCATATTTTTAAAATAGCTTTGAAAGTTTAAAATGATTTCTACATTTGAGAAAATTTTGAATGATTTGTCTGTGTTCTTAGGTTATTACTTAAAGCTATTGCATCATTTTAAAGTGTTTGTATTTTTAAGTGTTTATGCAGGAAGTTAAAAAATATGTATTCACAGTACTTACCAATAAAAAGGAACAAACGATACACACAGTAACTTGAATGAGTCTTAAAACTATGCTGAGTTTAAAAAGCTACATATCAAGGGAACATACTGTATGTTCCCTTTTGTGTGAAAGTCTAAGAAATGCAGGTCTGGGGAGTGGAGGGAAGGTTGGACTGCAGAGGAGCACATTTCATGTTTGTCAAAGTTATAATAATGTTGGTTGTGTGTAAAGTTTACCTCAATATAATTGGACATAAAAAAGAATGATCAGAATAAAAATAAATAGCAGTTGTAGCAGAAATAGGCTTAAAATACACAAAGGAGTATCCATGTTTGTAGTAGCACTTGAATTTATTTTACTGATGTATCTTCAGCAAATAGATTTTGCTGAACACAATTCTTTTGCTCTGTTTTGTGCATTTTTATTGAGGGTCAGATATTTGGTATAAACAAAAGGAAACAAAGAAACCTGACACATACCATCAGAATCTTCGTAGCAGTTCTACCTTTTTAACTTTTGCCATTTGATCTGGGCCACTTAGACTTCAGATAATCAGACATATTCTTTGTCTTCCTCTTGAGCTCTTTGTTTCTGTTATGGAAGAATGCAGGAATTAGGACTTGCCTCTGTTCTATAACCAAGACCATCTTGAGGTTCCTTTTACTACTGTATTACTTTTATTTACAGCCTTTGGGGGAGTTTTATTTAGAAACACTTTGTATTTCTTTTTTTGTTTGTTTGTTTGGTTTTTTGCAAGAGGGTCTTGCTATGTAGTTCAGAGTTCAAACTGGCCTTGAACTCACTGTGTATTCCAGGCCGGCCTCCAATTTGTAGCAATCCTCCTGCCTCACGCGCCCAAGTGCTGGCATTACAGGCATGCACCACCTCATCCAGCAGCACTTTATATTTCTGTGGGACTCCAGCAAAGACTAGATCTATTCAGGGTAATTTTAAGTTGTTATCTTAAAAACTCACTTTTTGGAGGAGGTACTGAGAATCGAACTCAGGACCTTGCACTTGCCAGACAGGTGCTTGTGCTGCTGAGCTGTATCCCTGGCCCAAAACTCAATAATATTTTGCAAATATCATACATTTAAGGGATGCATCTGGCAATGAATTAGCATTTTTAAAAGCTTCCTAGTTTTCAAATTCTCTTAACAGACCAAAGATTGAAACTTTTATTGAAAAACATGTCAAATTTTTAGAATAGTAATTATGAAATTCATATTGGTTTTTAATATGGTCATTTCTTCTCCTAGGTAAATTTGTATACTTTCTGACAGCATAACTTTTAGGAGATTTTAAGAGAAAGTTTATCTTTAAATCTGAATAATTATTGTAACTAATTTATTCTTTGAAAATATTTATATAGGTTATTTGATCAACAGATCATTTTTTTCCTCTTCAGGAATCCAACTGGATTGATGATAAAGAATTGCTTATTAAAATAGCTGCAATTGATAATGGGCTAGCGTTTCCCTTTAAACATCCTGATGAGTGGAGAGCATGTGAGTATTGAGATCTTTCTGGAGAGTCGATAATTGCTTCTTTTTCAAAATAGGAAGGGAATAGATCCCCAGATAGCAGGGAAACTGGATGAAGTGGAGCCATTCACTGGAGCTCAGTTCTGGGCACCAGGAATTCAAGATCCATTAGTTTTGCTGTGTGTTTCTACTTACATAGGGGAGAGGGCCCATTTGGTCATGATTCCTAGGCTGTGTTAGCCTTGGAGAATGGGCTGGGCAACTTTGTAAAGAGCTGGGTTTAATGTTTTGGCTACTATTTGCTTATAGAAAAACTCAGACCTAAGCACCTCCACACAAACACCCACCATCCCTTTCAGTGAGTACTGTAGTGCTTCATTTGTTTTATCCGTCTCCTGTATGGTTAGGGATGAGGTGTTCTGCATTTTGAGTCAGTTTTAGACTTCTTTTTTTTTTTTCTTTTTTGGCTTCTTGAGACAAAATGACATTATACAGTTCAGGCTGGCCTTGAACATACTTTGTAGCCCAGGCTGGCCTCCACTCTCGGCAGTCTTCCCGTCTCAGCCTCCCAGATTACAAACCCGGCAACATTTTTATTTTGCTTAAATTGTCCCTCTTATTTTGAATTTAATATTCATGACTATAATGTTTTGTATAGAGTTCTCATAATTTTAAAAAAAAAAAACTTGTCTGTGCCTAAAGTGAAATGAAGTGATATCTAGAATTTACCTTGAAATACTTGTAGAGGTCGGAACCAAGGAATGAAGGTAAAGCAAAATGTTTTAAAAATTTGTTAATAATTCAGTTAGAAAATTAGCCAGGCCTAGTGGCACATGCTTGATAATCCCAGCACTCAGGAGGCTGAGGCAGGAAGATCCTTGCAAACTTGAGGCCAGTCTGTGCTACAAAGTGAGTTCAAGGTCAGCCTGAAATAGAATGAGACCCAGTCACAAAAAACAAACAAAAAAACAAATTAGGGAATTTGGATGTGTGAGCTCATTATACTGTTTTTTTTTAATAGTTTAAGATGTATGTAAAAAAGCGCTGGGGCTATCCAGTGGCATGGCATCTACCTGGCAAGCATGAGGTCATAAGTTTGATTCCCAGTACCAAGAAAAAAGAAAAGAAATATATATATATATATATATATATATATATATATATATATATATGTAATAAATTTTAAAAATAATGTTTGTATCTACTCTACTGTTAGCCAGGTACGGCGACAGCACTCTAGGAAGCTGAGGCAGAAGGATCACAAATTTGAGCCCAGCCTTGGCAACTTAGTGACCCAGCATAGAGTTTTATTTATTTCTTAACATCAGATATTTACTTTCTATTGATATAAAATTTTAGGACATCTATAAAAACTGCCTGCATTGTGGACAGTTTGTAGCTGTAGAGGACCAGGAGAGCTCCCCTGACTGGGACTGTGAATGAATCTTGGGAACCCATCAATTTCTAAACTCCTGAGCAGGATAGAGTTAGGTATTTTTGAGATACAGCTATTAGAAATAAATTCATTATCAAATTCTGATTCTCTACTATCTAAAACTCAGAAGTGTGACTTCAGTAGGAGGTCACTGTTCTTTGGATCTGAATTGGCTGTTCACATTTGCAATCTAAATCATTTGGGTTGCAAAGGTATTTGTGCTCCAGAACCTACTCTCACCTGAGCTTTGCTTGGGACAACCTAGGAATTGTGGGAAAGAAGCAAGATGAATGGGAGTCTGAAAAAATCATTTCTCGCCACCAATTAAAAGAATATTTTTTCCTATTAGATCCATTTTACTGGGCTTGGCTTCCTCAAGCAAAAGTTCCTTTTTCTGAAGAAATAAAAAATTTGATTCTACCATGTATTTCTGACATGAACTTCGTGCAAGATTTGTGTGAAGATCTTTATGAACTTTTTAAGGTAAATAAATATATAATGACAGCGTTTTGGTTTGGAGGAAGTTGCACATTGTTTTGTTTTCCATATTATACTTTATTTTTAGTTTTTGTGTATCATTTTATTTATGCAGTGCTGGTGGTCAATTTCAAGGCCCTGTGCATGCCAGGCAAGTACTATACCACTGCGCTGCATCTCCACATTAAATTTTAAACGGGAAGCTGGACATGGTGCTCCATATCTGTAATCTTAAAACTCGGGAGGCTGAGGCAGAAGGATTTTGAGTGTCAGGCCAGTGTGGGTTACATAGTTCAGCTCAAGGCTAGACAGCGTAGCAAGATCCTATCTCTCAAAAAAAGAAAAAAAAAATGTTGAATGAATGTTAAGTACTTAAGTACTGTATGTAGATTGGGTTTCATTCTCCTGCTGGGGACTTGAGTCCAAGATCAGGTGCCAGTATGTTCAGGCCCTGGTCTAGGCTACAGACTGTTGACTTCAGCTCCATTGCATCCTCTTGTGTACTGAGAGACTCTCAGGCCTCTTCTCAGGGTTCTCACCGTATGCATGGGCCCTCCAGCGGCAGGACCTCCGCTCCACACATGGAGGCCTGGAAGAGACTCTCGGATGGTTTCCAGGAAGCTCGGGCCTTCAGTCCGTAGCTAGCACCATGATGGTGTCATATTTTTAACTCAACACCTACAACAGCTCTGCGGTGGTCATTTCAGTTTTACTGTGGATGAAATTAGTGCTGAGAAGGTTCAAGTTCATTGCCCACATTTAGAATGCAAACACGTGTGTCTTACAACAGCGTTATTTGTGTTTAATTTTGATTTCCTTTGTTCTTCCTATGGAGCACTGGGGATTGAACCCAGGCCTTCACACTGAACTCCACCCCCAGTCCCATTTAGTCATTCATTCATTCATTCAAAGAGAGTCTCTAAATTGTTACCGTCATTCATCTCAATCTCTGAAAGGGCTGGGATTATTAGGCCTGTACCACCATGCCTGGCTAAATGTTGAGTTTTTGTTATTACAGAAAGTGGATTATATCTCACAAAGAGATTTTCTCATATAGCTGCTGGCAGTAGGCTGTGACTTAACAGAGGATTTTCAGGTTTACTTTACAAGAGCATAAATTTGTAGTTTAATTTACCATGAGTGTCCCTTCAAATGAGACTGTACCAAAATTGAGAAATTGTTTTTGCCGTTATTGCTGTTGTCTTTGCAATACTAAGCTACACCCCAGCCCTTTTTATCTTTCGTTTTGAGATAGGGTCTCACTGAAACTGAAAGTATAAATAAGGACCAAAGTGTTTAATAGATATTGTGAACTAGGAAGGAAATGTTCAAATGGGGAGGGGAACAAGAGTGAGGAGAGACTAGAAGGAAAGAAGAGGGAAGTAAAAAAGAAATGAGAAGAAAAACATGGGAGCAAAGCTGTTGTAAAGGGGAAGGAAGGATAAGCAGGGGAGTGGGGAAGAAAAAAAAAGTAATATCGTGTGCAGGTATAAATGCTCGTGATGAATGTGATCACTGTGTGTATCTAAAATGTACCAATAAAATCTAATTAGGAAAAACAAAGATCCAGTCTCACTGAGCTACCAGAGAGCTGGGACTGCAAGTGTGTGCCACCGTTCACGGCAGGAGTTGTTTCATTCAAGTTAAATTTTTGCAAAATTACCATATAAATTACAATACAGTATGAGATGGTGGTCTGCTATTACTTTAAAAAAAAAAAAAAAAAAAAACCTGAACTAAGGGGAATGGTGGTACACACCTGTGATCCCACCACCTTGGGAGGTGGAGGCAGGGGGTCCTAAGTGAGAGCCTGCTCATGTAACCGAGTGAGACCCCATCTCAAAAATTTTTAAAAGTGAAAGAAGGGTTGGGAATGTAGCTCAGAGTAAAGGCCCTGGATTCAGTCCTTGGTACTACCAAAAATGAAAAAACAAAATATGCCGAGCTCATTTGTCAAAGATACATCTGATAAAAATACTGTCTTCTTGTTAACAGTTAGGAAAGACTTTCTTTAAGCAGACAATTTTAAATGTTTGGATAGGAGAGCTTTCTAACGGGCTTGTTACAAAAAGGAATTTGTTTACTTACCAATTTTGTGTTTTATGGATTTTGATTTTTGGCATTATAAGTAATATTGCATTTATTTCTTTTCTTTTCTGTATAGACTGACAAAAACTTTGATAAAGCCACTTTTGAAAGTCAGATGTCTGTCATGAGAGGCCAGGTAGGTCACTTCTTTCATGACTAAGACAAACACATTCCCAAAACAGTCAGTGTCCGCATTCTGCTCAGTCAGAGGCTCTCAGTTGATGAGAAATGAAGTCAGTTGAATCCACATCTTTCCCTTGTTATGTCCTGAGCTACGTGATGCTGGGGCTCATCCGGGGACTTGCTCGGCATCACCAAGCTCTGCCCAACCCTGCATTAGTGTCTGGGACCTTGTGTGTTACTGATGAGGTGCCGCCCGCACCCCCCCCCACGCCCCACATTGTTCAGCCCTGTTTTGGTTCCTGCTGTCCTGAGCCGTGCTGCCTTCTACTTCTTCAGATCCCCTTGCCATGACAGTTCAGTACCAAGTTCTGTTGCCGGGTGGTCATTCTCCTTGCAGAACATATTTGTCTTCACTAGAGCCCTCTGCAAATAACTGTGTCACCAGGACTGAGCGCTAATTGGCCATGAGGGAGCTCTAATTATAACTCAGTCCTCTGACCCTCCCCGCTCGCCTCTAATGAGAGACACAGGGTGTTAGGTCTGTTGTCTCGGACCTGAAGCTGAGCTGGCTCGCAGGGACCTCTGTATCTTCCACTCCATTCCAAAAGCAAGACTTGAAAGGAAAATAAATTATCCTGTTAACATTGGCTTTTCCTGACTTCCCAATTAGTGTGCTTTTCCTAATACATACATTTCATTTAAGTAGCTGCTTGCCACAACACTTGCAGCCAAGAAGATGAATATAGCCTTTGCCCTGATTATTGTATTATATAACTTTAATGAGTAAACAGAATTAAATCAGAAGTTCATTAATTCATCAAATATTTACTAGCACAACTAGCACGATAGAGCCAGCATCGATGGGCCATAAAAAGCAGAATATGGATTTCACACAGGAAGGGCTAGAACAGTTAGGAACATTAAAGAAGACCTTGTCCCTGTGTGCACTCCCTGGAACTGTGTATAAAATTCTGTATGTGCCTTTTGGTTGCTGGGGAGCTAGGGTTTTTATCTCAGCAAAGAGGTCCCTGATCCACAGAGCTTGAGCATGGCTACAGGAGGCGAGGCTGGAGAGCAGGCGCAGATTTGCCTGGTAGAGAAGACAGGAGCAGAGAGCCTAGTGCGGAGGGCATAAAGGGTCAGGCGATCGATGCCAGCAGTGTTACCACCCAGAGTGTCTGAGCTGCATTCTCTGGCAGAGAGAACTGTGCCCCAGTGTGATCTTTTCTTGCTTGAAACAAGTTAACTTGATGTAGCCACACTCTCTTTCTGGTTCTTGTCCCTAAAGGTAACTAGTGGCCTCCTTTGTTCTCTGGGATCTGTTCCCAGACGTGAGTGGGTGCCTGAGACTGCAAATAGAGCCAGCCCTCTGTGTGCTATGCTTTTGCCCTGTACACACGCACCTGTCATAATCATAGGGAGGTTACTTTAAGTGAATAAATGTCATGAATAATTTTGTAAGCTTTATTTGTGGGTTAAAGTTAGCATATGGGGGCTGGGGATTTAGCTCAGCGGCATAAGCTCCTGCCTTGCAAGCAGGCAGTCGTGAGTTCGATCCCCGGTACCAATAAAAAGACAAAAAAATAAAAAATAAAGTTAACATATGAAAAACTTGAACTGAAATGAAGAATTAGTGGCTTGGGAACCATTATTTTAGCTCTGCACATGGTCACAGAGGCATAGCCATGGGTCTCTGATGTCTTCAGGTTCATTTGTTCACATTCTGTGTCATTCACGAAGGAGTTCAGAGATTATAAAAATTCATGTAATATAAAGTGACAGGCTCAAGATCTGGGGAGAAAAGCAAGTGAAGTGATGGTATCTTGGTTATATCATAGGGAGGATGATTTGGTTTTATTTGGTTTTATTTTTTTAATTTTGATTTGATTTTGAACTTACTGGTAACAAAAAAATTATATATATATTATATATACATATATGTATATATAATATATATATCCTGACCATGTACATATTTTTTTAAATTTTAAGGAGAAAAAAGAAAAAAAAACAGAAAAAGGGTACAAGTTATAGAGAATTTCAAAAAATATAAACAGTAGGAAATCACTAGTTAATAGATTACATACATATTGTCATCTTAGAAATAGTTGTTCAAGTTACAAAATTAAAGCATATAGAGTGGACATTCAAACAGTGAGACTGTAAATAGTTCTGTTCAGTGATCCAACAAAACTCAGTAATATGGTTATCTATCTTATACACTTAAATATACATGCAGTTATGTCCTTTAGAGCTCTTTCTTTTCCTCTCTTTTGTACAATGACAATTATACATTTTAGGTTTTATTATTCCCACAGTTCTTACTACTTGTTTTTGAAGAGAGTAAAACCAAATGTGACATAACAGGACAGAGTCAGTCAAATCAAAAGGATGGACATAATAGATAATGTAAAAACAAAATAATAGGGGATCAACAATCATTACCATAATGCCTCTTGCTATCTTAAAAAGAATTGCCTATATCATCAGTTATAATAAAATTGAACAAAACAGTAAAGAACAAAACCAATAAAACCAAAACATTGGAGACATTAGAGGACTTCAAAAGAAGATAATAGTCAACCAGAATGGGTGTCATAATGAATCTTATTGTCTTCATAGTTGTTGCCTATACTTTCGAACTTGGTACTATCGAGCAAAACATAATAGAGGAAAATCAGTCAAAACAAGATGGTGAGGGCAATACAGGGTTTCAAATCAAGTTAATAGGAAATCAAACTGGGTTACTATAATATATCCTGCTATTTTTTATTTTTCCCTTAATTAAAAGGATAAAAATGAAAAAGTAAATAATAAAAAAGGAGATTGAGATAGAAGAGGGCATAACAACAAAACAGCGCAGGTCAAAACATAACCATTTAAGCAAAATAGTGTTTCACCACAAGATAATCACGACATAATAGTAGTTACCATAGTGTCTCTTTCCTTGAAATCTTTGAGTATAACTTTGTATACTGTAGCATCAAACATATCAAGCAATGTAAAACCGTTTAAGAGAATGACAGTATTACAGGGTATTTAGAATCAACTAACAGAAAATGGACAATGGTTTCTGTATAATCTCCTTGTCTATAAAAGTTTTTGTTTATATTATCACATAAAATAAAATCCAGTAACATACAACATGTTAAGAATGATGGAGACAGAAGAACAAAAGCTTGATGGGACTTCAAAACAAGATGATATTAAATCATCAGTAGCTATTATGATGTCTTATTTTCTCCAGAATAACTATTCCTACCATCCAACTTTCTCTGCCTCATTTCTGTTGAGCTCTTTTTCTGTCATTAGTTGTCAGTTTGTCTTCTTCATTTTGCTTTCTGCTCCATTCATTGTGGCCTCTCTGCTACTGTTTCTGGAATCTTGATATTTTTCTTTTTTTAGAATGTCCTGCAGTATTCTCTGTAGTGTTGAATTGGTGGTTGCAAATTCCTCTAGTTCCTCTTTATCCTGGAAGCACCTTGTTTTTCCATCAATTTCTAGAGACAGTTGTGCAGGATATATCAATCTTGGCTGGAGGTTATTATCTTTCAAAGCTTGAATTATTTCCCCCCATGCTCTTTGTGATTTGATGGTTTGTGCCGAGAAGTCTGTTGTAATTCTGATGGGTGTTCCTTGTAAGTGATCTGTTTTTTGTCTCTGACGGCCTTTAATATTCTGTTCTTATATTGTATTTCTGGAATTTTGATTATTATATGCCTGGATATAGCTCTGTTTGGGTTGTAGGTGGCTGGGGTCCTGTATGCCTCATACATCTGAGTATCTTTACCTTTTGCTAAATTAGGGAAATTCTCCTGGATTATTTCTGTGAATAGCTTTTGTAATCCATTTGTTTGTGTCCCTACTTCTTCTTTTATGTTCTTAATTTTTAAGTTATAGATCCTCTTAACATCTTCTAGCCCTTGTATTATTGCTGTTTGTTTCCTTGTTATTTTTAAGTTTTTCATTTCATGTTCCCACTTTAAAAATCTGTCCTCCAGTTCAGATAATCTATCCTTAGTTTCTTTCAAGCTGTTATGCCAGCTTTCAATAGAGTTTTTAGTTTCCTGGTAATCTCTTTGAACCTGCTTCACGTATTCTATGTTTTCTCTATTTTCTCCATCAAACAATTCTCCCCTTTTTTTCTGTTCTTCCATTCCACCATCTGTTTTTTCTTGGGCAGTGCTTAACATTTCTCTTAACTATTCTACTTATATCTTGCTTTATTTCATTAAATACTTCATTTTTTAACTAGTCTCTGAGGCTTTGGAGATAGAGCTTTATGTCTATTGGTGCCGTGTCTGATATTGCATGTTTTCTGTCTTCCTTTGCATTTCCCTTTCCTGGATCAGTGTTCTCAGGATTGGGGACTGAGGACCCTTAGAAGTTGCTTCCTCTTTCCATACTTTTTGTTCCTTCTGTACAAGCGTATATAGGAGGCCCAGTTTTTTTTCTCTTTGTCAGTTACAGTTTGTTTGAATCTGCCAGCTAGGTGTTCCCGCCCACTGCAGTGTACTAGGGAGACACAGACCTGGGCAGCCTCTGCTGGGCCCGTCCCTCTAGGTCAACGTAGTGAAGGCTTCACTGCTAGTGTGCACCACCAGGCGCTGGAACCTGGTTTGGGCCAGCCTACTGGGTCTTAGTCCGTGGTGTCACCCAGGCCAAGCACTCCCCACCAATCCTGCTTGAGAGGAGAATTTGCGACTAAAGTTGCTGCAGCATCCTGTTCCAGCTAGTCTGCCCAGTCCCAGAATGTCCTCTGTTGGAGCCTCCTAGTCTATGAAAGGGTCCCCATTCCTCTCACTCACCGCAGGTCGATGCAGGGCTCCCTGCCAGTCCTGCTCTCAACTCCGTTTGGTTCACCGATTCCTGCTCTCAGAGCTTTTGCGTGTCTGTCTCCCTGCTGTGCCGATTGGGACGCAGCAGCGGCAGCAGGAAATTCAAATCACGGCTTCCAGTGGCACAGGTTCCAGCTTCCACACTGAGATTTTATCTGTTCCTGTTATAGCATGGCGATTGCATTTCTAGTTAGTTTCTCTCAGCTTAGTTCGTTCTTGGGTCGGCAGGGTATATAGCCCCTTGCTTAGGACTCCTCACACCGCATCATTCCTGGATTCTAAGCTGGCAATGTCAGAGAGCTCCGTGGCTGCTGTTATCTGTCTGCCATGTTCTCCTGGAACTCCCATGTACATATTTATATAGCTCTCTGCTTCTAGCTCTTTGTCGTTGGTAGAGGTTTGTTTGTTTTGGGGGGCTTTTTTAAAAATCAAGTATTATTCTGCATTCTAAAATAAATTAAGCTGGGCGTGGTGCTGCGTGCCTGTAATGCCATTACTCAGGAAGCTGAGGCAAGAGGACTGCTGTAAGTTTGAGGCCAGCCTAGGCTACAAAGTGAATTGAAGGCCAACCTGAACTGCATAGTGAGACCCTGTCTCAAAAAACCAAAAATAAATAAATAAAATGAAATCAAGGGCTAGGGATGTAGCTGAGTGATAGAGCACTTGTCTAGCATGCACACAGCCTTGGGTTCTATCCCCAGTACCATAATAAGTAAATAAACGTATAAATGAATCAGCAGTACTTATAAAACAGAGGTTTAGTAACAAATTTTAAAAATAGCATTGTCTATTCCAAACAGCAGAATCATTATTTCAGGCATTCCTTTAAGTCAAAATACCTTATTATTTCTATAACTTATAAGTGTCCTTTGAATCCTCTCCCCCTCCAGTTTTGTTTATTAGCTTTCTGATTTATGCTATGTATAGCAAGCCTGTTGTCCTAGTTTGTAGCAGTTTTACACACATAAACAGTAACTTGCTCTAATTCTTACATAAAGATGTATCCTGGACTGATGCAAAGGTATTTCTCAGAATTAGGACTGAATAGATTTATGAAAGTTAAAGTATATTTTGAATTTTTTAAAAATACCAGTAGGGGGCTGGGGATTTAGCTCAGCAGCATAAGCTGCCTTGCTAGCACGCAGTCGTGAGTTCGATCCCTGGTACCAGAAAAAAAAAAATGAAACACAAAAATATCAGTAGATCTTAGTCAAGTTCAGTAAAATTCATTCAATGTTCTACCTATGCCTGCTAGGAGTATCAGCCCTCAGATTATGTTTACTTCATGGAAAATATGAAGGATTTTCCACATGATCTGAAAAAGGGTAGAAATAATAAATTTTTTATGAAAACAGTGAACCTGTATTTATTAATTGATAAACCAGAAGCTCACTTGCAGATTCAGTAGTGATGTGGAAGCAAACTGCAGTAAGCCCTGAGCACTTCCTGAGTACCTGGTCCGTGGAGATTTTCCTATTTGGTACCGCTTACCTTCATAAGAACTCTCCACAGTAATCTCATCTTATGTGGAAGAACCTCGGCTCCCAAGGCTGAAGTAGGTCACGTGCTACACTGTGAAGTGAAGGGTGGCAAACCTGTGACACTGTCCGCCTGCTGGGCCTGGCACCCTGGCCGTCTCCTCTCTGGCGCTACTGACATGCTTCAAGCAGCACCCTTGCCTCCAGCTCCAGCTCTCTCTGACGCAAGGTCCAGGGGACTTGTGCTGGTGCCCAGGCAGGGTGCCAGGCTCCCATCTTAGCCAGCCAAGCCCCTCACGTGTAGCTGCAGCCCTGTCCCTGGCTGTCGTCTCCATCCTGCCGCTTCCCCTAGAGCAGTGCTGCCTGCGCCGCTCTGCTTCTTGGATGCCCTGCCCCTTGACCAGATCAGCTCCAGCTCAGTCTCCTGCCCGCCGTCTACCTCCCAGGGAGTGCTGCGTGTGTAGCCTTCCCAAGTAACATACCCCTGCTGCACATTGCTCAGAAATGTCATTTTAAATCTGCATATTGACTAAATTTCTCTTGAATAACACCCTAAGGTTGCCCATACAGTAGACTATACCCTCCGTAATTTTGTGTGTGCAGTCCAGCAGTTCTGCCCTCTGCAGTCTAGGACCGGTGAGCTGCTCTAAGGCAAAGCTGTCTGTGGGGAGAGTCCACGTGTTGGTGCCTTGTGCCTTACCCACACCCGAGATTGCCCATTGAGCTGTCAGAGTGACTTCCACGTCTCCTGGTGCCTTCAGTGTCTGCCCTGTGCATTTGTGAAATGATCTTCTCTGGTTTAAACATGTCACAGGCAGAGTGAAGAGCTGAGCGTGGGGTGGGCAGGACGTGGGGTTCCCCGCAGTGACGGTACTTGTGACTCCTTTGCAGTCACTTGTTGCTGTGGCAATTTGTTTGTAGAATGCGAGTTCCCTGGGGCTCCCAGGGCTTCCACTCCTAATCAGCCCCTCTCCTCCCTCACCTTGTGAGCGCTTGGTAAATGTTTCTTCTCAACTCCCAGACAGACAGTGCAGCCAGTGTAGGGTGAAGTCTTGTGATTATGTATTTAGAAATTGATAATCCTGTACAGCAACTTTCATTTCTTGTACATTTCTGCCTTCCAACTTCTCTGTGACAAGCATGTATTGTTTTTAGTCAGAAAAATATTAGGTGTTACTTAAAATGACATATTTAGATTAACATTTTTAGGATAGGATTTTTAAAATCCAGAGAGGAAACTGGCCAGAACATTTAATGCTTAGCCTCGCTGCATCACATTTTACCTTCATTGTACAAACAGTCCTTGAAACTTAAATTTCTTTAGCTCTTTTTTCTTGTTATCCAAATACAGCCAACCTAGACTATTTTAAGAGGATATAAAAAGGCCCTAAAACATAATCTCTATAACTGCTATTGCTACTGAAGATTTATGTCCCTGATACGTTAAATATTCTAAATCTTACAGAATCTATACCTTATAGTTCAAATATTACAAAGTGTATTAATGGCTTTATGTTGAAATTTCATGCTTATCATTATGAATTTGTCTTTATTAGAACCAGTAAGATACATAGTATGTGGAGCATAGATATTTTTAAGTAGCTGAAGGAGATAGCTATATATCTAATGTACGTAACAAAGTTTTTCCCAATATGCAAGAAAAAAATTACCAAAGTTTTATCTGAACAAAAAGTGGACCAGGCTGTGAGCTGTTTCAGAACCTTATTTGTATGCTCAAAAGTAAAAATTCTAAGAATGTCTTTGAACACGAAATTCATAAATTTTACTTTTTTCTGGTTTTATTTTTTCTATTTAAGAGTAAAATGTTCAATTAAATTTTACTTGTAATGGGTTCCTTCCCAAATTCTCTAAGCTCCCCTGGGGTTCCCCAGGCACTCTTAGCCTTCCTGTGTTTGCTGTTGCTCACTTCCTCGTGTTTATGGGCCACCTCTCTGGTAAAATGAAGGCAAGAGTTTATTCACGTGCATAGCAGTCACCTTCCTGGCACAAGTACAGCTGCGTAGGTGTGCAGAAAGTTCATTTGCTGAGTGTGTTGCTAGGTCTGGGGTGCTGTGCTCTTCCCAGGGGTCCTTTCCAGGCTCTTGTCCTGAACAGAGAATTAGACAGGAAACATGCAAAAGATAATACTAACAGTATCAAATGTGGGGAAAGAACTGTGGTCTTATTTCGCAGAACTGAAGATAGGACTGGTCCCGGGTGCAGGGCTTGCACACGTGCACCTGGAAGACTGCAAACAGGTCAGGCCCACTTACCCAGTGGGGTGGCCGTGTGGGGGTCTCCTGCCTAAAGTGGATAAGGCAAAGTTTAAACCAGTATTTGTTTCTCTGTCGAATGGAATATGCAGAAACTTCCTTTCTTTGCATCTAGGAGCATTCTAGGATATTTTTGAAGTTACCAATTTTGTAAAGTTATTCAGCTCTAATTTCCTGCATTTGTGTGTGTAGATAAACATAGCTACACCCATATAATACTTACAGCCATTTCTTATTGAAATCTCTGTTGTGTTAGTGGCTGAAACAAAAACTACAATGAATAAAATAATGTTAGTGAAGTGAGACTGTTTCTTTTAATTACTAGAACTCCCTCTTCCTCCTGTAGATCTTAAACCTCACCCAGGCGCTGCGAGACGGAAAGAGCCCTATGCAGCTGGTGCAGATGCCCTGCGTGAACGTGGAGCGCAGCCAGGGGCGCGGGCAGGGCCGCCTCCTCCACCTGACCAGCACTTTCACCCAGACCATCCACTGCAGGAAGCCCTTTTTCTCCTCCTGGTAGTAGATGTAAGACAGTCGGCGGCAGCATTGGTTGTTAAAATATTCTATTTACATCTGCTCCTGCTGTCAACAGCTCAAGTCATTGAAGTCTTTAAAAAAAGTTTCCTTTTGAATGTAATCAAAAGTTTACAGTTTTTTAACCAAATATTAAATTCCATTTCAGGGAAGAAATGATATATCTCTTCTATTGTATTTTTGTAGAAAATTGTATAGGTTGTTGTTGTTGGTTTAGAAGAATACACCTCATTGTATATTCATGCTAGAACTGCCATTACTGTAGAATTCCAAATGGAAAAATATAGTTGTTGACTTTGAAAACAGTAACATTGGGGCTGGGGATTTAGCTCAGCGGCATAAGCACCTGCCTTGCAAGCAGGCGGTCATGAGTTTGATCCATAAAAATGAGAAAGATAAAAAAAAAAAAAAGAAAACAGTAACATTTTATGTATTTTTTAAAGATTGGAGAGAGTGTTCATTTTGACTCTTTTTACATTGCATTACAAAAGGCCTTTGAGAGTGGCTGGGTCTGAAGTTACTCTGCTCCTCCCACAGAAGAGTCAATAGAACTGTAGGAAAGACTAAAGCAAATTCAAGTTGCCTTAATTTTATAAGCTGCTATGTTAGAACTGGAATAAGAGAACCTATATGGTCATTATTGGGGATCTGAAAATTATATTTTGTTAAGTGACAAATGACCATAATTCTATTTTATAATTTTTTTTATCTTGTTTTAGTAAATAAAATCTAAAGACATTCCTCCTTTTCTTTAAAAAAAAAAAAATGGAAGCACTCATTTTCCTGAGGGGAATAATATAAAATTGAGGTAGATCATCAGTATTTTCAAATTAAAAAAAAAAATCCTTAAATAGTCCTTTTTATTTCTTGTATAGGATCAAGTAATTGAGTAGTTACTACTTCAAAATAATGATCTTGTTCAATTTAGTACTTTAGTATTAAACTTCACTGAAAAGTGCCTCAAAGTATATATTAGATTTCATTTTGGGGTCCTGTGTTTGTAAATGCATAAAAATGTACTCGAAATTGTAAGAAACAATGTTAGATTATTAGCCCAATTTGAGGGAAAAATGAGAGAGGACCATAAAATCAGTTCTGTTTGATTTTGAAATTTAATTTTGTACCTTCTTTTGAATACCAATATGTCTCACATTCTTGGAATTTGTAGTGCTGTGAAGTCATGCGTTATTAAGTTGAGATGCGCCAACTATGAAGATGAGCTTCTGAGAAGAAAACCTTTTATCTGTTCTTCAGTCTCAAAACCAGTAGCATCAATACTCAGACTAAACTGGGCAGGCCCTTGGTAGGCTTGGCCTTTTGTCTTGTGAGTTTACGTGGAGATTTCTGAATGAGTTATTTTTGTATGACAGGAACATGGGGCAGCCAGCCCGGGATCTGAGTCTCTGGCGGCTGCCCTCAGGGAGTCACTGGAAATCTGTTTTCCACCTTTTCCCACCCTCCATTAGTTCTCGGGGAGAGAATGGAAACTTGACTAGAAATTCAACACTCAACCTGTTACCCTTCAGTAAATATTTGTGATTAAAATGTGCCTTTCAAAGATGTATTCTCAAAGAAAAGAAGTAAGTTGTAATGTGGGTATGACTTTGATAATAGTTTTTTTCAGTATTTTTGAGAATTACTATATTAATTTTTATAATAGAAAATGTAGTAAACTGCTACTGTTTTATATGCTAAAGTTAGTGTGAGAATTTTTTAAGTGTCTGACCATGCTTGAAAAGTAGAGATATTTAAGATTACAAGTCGAGTACCTTGGCTGTGTTTTGTAAACTTTCATCAACTTAATTCTTATTTAAGTATTGTTTTTCCAATGAGTATATTTATATTGTCAAACATGGTAGACTAAACATAATAAAAATCATTGTCTTAAAGCTAAATTTTTGTTTTATGTATGTATATTGAATAGGTAGAATGTTTGTAAATGTGTTTGTTTTTAAATGTTGGAGAACTATCATTTTTCTTACTTTGGATATTAGTGGTATAGTTTAACTCTGTAATTTCAAAAGGTATATTTAACTGGAAAGCTTTTGATTGTAGATATTTTGCTTTTATTTAATTATAAACATGGTTTTCTGTAGACTTGAAAATAATTTTATTCACAATTTTGGAGGCTTGCTTGTTTGTTTGGGATTTTTTTGGTGATGCTGAGGGTAGAACCAGGTCCTCACAATGTTAGACAAGCTTTGCACAGCTGATCACATCCCCCTTGCCCCGTATTCTTTTTTGAGGCAGGGCGACACCACCTGTAATCCCAGCACTCAGGACTGAGGCAGCAGGATCACTGAGAGTTCAAGGCCAGCCTGGGCTCCACAGTGAGACCCTGCGTCAAAAACCAACCAGAACAAAACAAAAATCAGAAAACCTCTCCCAAGCTGGAGAGGGCTGTCCAGCATCCAGATGGCCATTGGTAGAAGGGCCCTGCAAAGGGTGTGAGGTGTCTGGTCCTCAGGGTGACCACCATGGCCAGGAAGGGGACAGGGGTCTGCGGAATAGCACGGCCCTGCCAGGCAGGAGCAACTCAGACACTGACAGAGGCACCGAGGGAAACAGCTGCGAAAGCAGCCAGGCAGTGACAGTGCGGAACAGGTGGCTGGCCAGGGTGCTCCACAGGGGCTGCCCAGGAGGAGCCACAGGCTCAGCAGCTGTCCAGAGCACCCTGGCCTCCCACACAGCAAGCAAAGCTTGAGGTAAGGACAGGAATCCCTCCCGGACATGACGGCCTCTTACATGGTGCCGCGGCCAGGCAGGCAGCAGTCTGCATAGCACGGCCACAGAAAGAGGCATCCCAGAAAAGTCCTGATGAGGTTTAGGGAAACAATCTAATAACTGACTAACTTTGTTTTAAGGAGGTTCTGTAGTGCTGGTCTCAAACTCCTGGGTTCCAGTGATTCTCCTGCCTCAGCTCCAGAGGTAGACTGTAGGTGCACACTGCCATCCCTGTCCCAAACCAGTATTTTAAAACACGTTTAAGTGAGGTTGAAAGTTCACAAGTTCGAGCCCAACCTGGGCCACTTAGCGACTCAGCAAACCCTGTCTCAAAAATGAAAAGGGGCTGCGACGGACTGAACAACACCTGAAGGAGTTTTTAAAATGTTAGACCCTAAGAACAGCAGCATCAAAATGCAAAAAGCTATCCCTGAGATGAGTAAGCAACAGAAACAAATACAGTGAGAGCAGGCAGCGGAGGAAATATCAGAAATCTTAGAAATAAACTAGAATACAAGAGCACAAAGACCACATACCACAAAAACCTGGCAGGAAAAATACTGTGTGTCAAAAGCACCGAGGCTGTCCGTACTCTGCTGTCACACGCTTAGTGGTCTCAAGCCCTCTCAAGCCCGCCAGAGGTATTACTGTGGAGTCCACAGCTCAGAAGCCTTGACGCAGGCTTCCGTGAGGTGCAATCAAAGCGTCAGCAGGACTGGGTTCCTTCTGAGGCCCGACACGACTCACTGTCTCACCTTTTAAGCCTCTCAATTCCTTGCCTGTCTCCCTCTTTCACCTTCCTTTTCTGCATTGTGTGCATGCACGTGAGCGTGTGTGTGTGTGTGTGTGTGTGTGTGTGTGTGTATGTGGTGGAGGGAATATGGGAATTGTACTCAGGGCCTTGGCAATGACCTGTATCTCCAGCCATGCTTTAGTTTTTATTTTTTGAGGCAGGGTCTCACTGAGTCACCCAGGCTGGATTCGAACCTATGATCCCTCTGCCTTGACCTCTTAAGAGTGCTGAGATCACAGGCACGTACCACCACACCTGGCTTCTACCTACTATACTCTTAAGAACGCTGGTATCTTAGTATTTGGGAGGCTGAGGCAGGAGGATAGTTGTGAGTTCAGGGCCAGCCTGGGCTACAAAGTGAGTTCAAGGCCAGCCTGAACTGCATAGTGAGACCCTGACTCAAAAAAGACAAAAACAAAAAGACTGGTGATGATATTGGGCCTACCCAGCTAATCTAAGATAATGACCCTTTTTTATCTTTACGTTTTTTGGTAGTGCTGGGATTGAATCCAGGGTCTCGTCTGTGCTAATCCGCATGCTCTACCGCTGGGCGACAGCCCCAGCGCCTTCTGTTTTCTCAACTATGCTGGCACACAGCCTTAATGCCATGTGGGCCTCTTTGGGGCCTTCAGCTGCCTTCCCTGTGAGGTGTAGAAGATAGGCAGGACACCTGCTCTCACCGTTTTGCTTCGTTTTTCTTTTTTTCAGTGTTATACTGCAGAGCCTGGCCAGGGCAGGAAGGCAAAGAGAGGAGAACTGCAGTTTGGGGGCCGCATCAAGACTTCCCTGGATTACACAGCAAAGCTCTGTCTCAACAGGAAGAAAGAAAAATAAAATCTTTACCTAGAAACCAAGAGAAATTGTTTTTCCCAGACAGATCCGTGTTAGTCAGCTCTTCATTACTCTAAACATCTGAAGTGGTAATTGGACCTCGCGGTTTTTGAGGTCTCGCTGACCTAACTGCTTTGCCCCTGTGGCCTGCAGGAGAGCAAAACACTCACTCATGGACAGAAAGCAAAAGAGGGAGAGGAAGGAGCTAGCGTTCCACAGCCCCTGTAGGGGTTAATTATCTTTTTGCACATTTTAATTTCCTGTCCCACGTGTGCATGGCACAGTTATGCCCACAGCACCACCCAGAATATGAGGGCTCGAAGCACCTTCGGGTCACCAGCCGCCACCCAGCCACCTTCGTGGTGCTGGCTCTGCACCACGGGAGAAGGAGATCATGTAACCAGATTCACCTGCATGTTAATATTTTCTCAGGGAAGTTGGGAAAAGCCTTTCTTCCTAGTAAGTGTGGAAACTTTGGAACCTGAATTAGTAAAATAACTACAGTATTGTTACTCTGGAGATAAATCGCTTGCTGATTACTGGACTCACAGTTCTATTCCACACTGTGAACCAGAGCAGCTCACTTCTCAATTATGGCGGATACAGGAATTTGCTGTGGCCCCTTTTTATTTCCTAAAATTTCCACTCCTGAATATCAGTTTGTATCAGAGGTACAATCATTTGTTGAGTTCAACACATTGGTCCCAATTATGTGCAAGATCCCCCCAAAAGTGGTAGAAACATAAAAATCAGTAAAATGTGGGTATAACTCATGAATTTATTCTTTAATACTGTTCACGGGTCTAATTGAGCTGTCCGTATTTTTCTCATTTATTACAGAAGCATTTTTCCATATCAGCACTTCTCTTGTGGAAGATGAGGCTTTCATTCCCCCCCTCAAGTGTTTATCTGCTCTTTAGGGTTACAGAGGAGATGGTCTCCAAAATGGCCGCCACAGTTCCTTCCCTCTTGGCAAACATGTTCCATTCCAACCGTCTTCCCCTCCCTTCTACCTGAGCAGGCTTCACAGCTTGATTGAACCAATGGAATGTGGTAAAAGTAAAGCTGTGCCAGTTTTGTCATTAGCCTTAGTGGAAGCCCAGTGGCTTCTGCTTTCGTCCTGGGAAGTCAGAAGTTCAAATACCCGAAGTCCACCATGCTGTGAGGAAGCCCCAGTTAGAGGGGTGGTGATGAAAGAGAAAGAAGCCGTTCTATCTCCCAACATCAGTTCTCCCCAGAAAACTGACCAAAACATCCAATTTTCTGATACTTAGACTACACTCAACTTGCTCCTATTTACTAAAAATGTATTTTACTGCTAGATTTTTTTATAAGTTGAGGTCCAATCAAGATTTTTCCATCACATTTGTTACATCTTTTAATCTGGAAGAGTTCCTTCACTTTTCCATTGACATTTATATTTGGAATACCCCTCACTCGCATCTAATTTCCACTCGGTGTTCAGCTTGGACTTTTGTATTTCCTGTAAACTGGAAATGAGAGCTAAAACCTTGAATACGTTAAGCTTAAGTATTTTTGGTAGGAATATTTCATTGATGATGCTGTGTATTTCACATGGCATTTACATTAGAAGTTAGAGAAGTGATACTTAAATTCTACTGAAGAATACATCATGGTTGAGAAATTCCAAAGGAGCCAGATGGTCGGGGCAGCAAATACTTGTTCACAAATACTTAAAAATGTTCTCTCCTCTGCAGAATTTGATTATCTGCCCCCATCTTTGAAAACTTTATATTTATCTCACCTTCATCAGTGAACTTCTCTGATATAGCTCCTTTCTGATGACTAAGGTGATGATGACTGGTATCTTGATTGTCTTTACACTTACAGTGTGCACTATGATTTGGTATATGTATACAGTGTTGATTTCCAAGTCAAGCTGTTTAGCATACCCTATACTGCACGTCTTTTTATGGTAAGAGTAGAAAATCTATTATCAGTTTTATAATATGTTATTTAATATACAAATACATTGATGAGTTACCATGATATATAATAGAAATCGTGAACTTATTCCTCCTAACCGAAGTTGTGTGTCCTTTGACTGACACTTTCAAATCTCCCCACTCCACCCTTTGGCAAGCACCATTGCACTCTGGTTTTTATGAGTTTGACTCTTTCATACTCCACATATCCAAATGTGGTAGACAGTCGGTATGGAACATGTTTGCAAACAGGGAAGGAACTGATGGCGGCCAATGGTACTTGTCCTTCTGTATCTGGCATATTTTACTGACCGTGATGCCCTCCAGGTTCATCTGTTACCAGAGATGACAGACTTTCCTTCCTTTTTAAAACTGCAGAATACTTTGTACACCTTGTGTTGCCCTTTTTGTTACTATAGCTGAATGCCACAAACTTACAATGCATAGAGGTTTGGGGGCTCAAGGGTCTGAAGGCTGAGAACTTCAAGGCAGGTGAGGTCGCCCTGTCTGATAAGGAGATCTTCAGAGGCCTGGGGCAGAGCAGGCTGTTGTGTGGCAACAGGCATGCTGGCTCAGGTCTTTCTGCTGTTTTCTCATAAGG